GGCCCAGTGCACAGATTCATGCACCGGTGGGGTCCCTCGGCCTGGCCTGAGCCCTCTTGCAATCCAGGACCTCTTGGGGGATGTTGGAGAGCCTGTTTCAGCCTGATCCCTGCAGGCCAGGCCAAGGGACCCCACGGGTATATGAATTTTTTTCTTGTTATGAGAACTTTTCAGTTCTACTCTCCTAGCAACTTTCAAATATACGATGCAGTATCATTACCTATATATAGTCACCGTGCTGTGCATTACACCCACAGAAGTTATTACTCTTATAACTGCAAGGTTGTATTCTTTGACCGCCTTTACCCATTTCCCCCATCTCCTGCCCCTGCAACCACCTATCTGTTCTCTGTTTTTATGAGTTTGTTGTTTTATGGGCTCTACATGTAAGTGAGGCCATACGGTGTTTGTCTTTCTCTTCTCACTTATTTCACTTAGCACAATGTCCTCCAAGTTCTTTCCAGTTGTTATTAATGCAAAATTTCCTTCTTTTTTTATGACTGAATAATATTCCAGTGTGTGTGTATAGGTGTGTATATATTTATCACATTTCCTTTACCCATTCATCCATTGCTAGACACTTAGGTTGCTTCCTTATATTGGCTATTATAAATAATGCTGCAATAAACATGGGGGTGTAGGTGTCTCTTCAGGACAGCGATTTTGATTCCTTTGAATATACAGTATACCCAGAAGTAGAATTGATGGATCATATGATAGTTCTATTTTTAATTTTTTGAAGGACCTCCGTACTGTTTTCCATAGTGGATGCACCAATCCGCATCCCCACCAGCAGTGCCCAAGGGTTCCCTTTCTCCGCAATCTTGCCAACACTTATCTCTTGTCATTTTGATGATAGTCATTCCAACAGATGTGAGGTGATACCTCATGTGGCTTTGATTTGCATTTCCCTGATGATGATTGATGTTGGACATCTTTTCATGTACCTGTTGGCCATGGGTACATCTTCCTCAGAAAAAGTCTATTCAGCTTCTCTGCCCATTCTTTAAACCAGATTGTTTGTATTTTTGCTATTGGGTCATATGAGTTCTTCCTATATTTTGGATATTAATTCCTTTCAGATATGATTTGCAAAACTTTTCTCCCGTTCTGGCCTTTTCATTTCATTGCCTTTGCTGTGCAGTGTACTTCTTGTTTAAACCTGCAAGGATTGCCCAGAGGACCTAGCATGTGCCTGGGTGCCCTGTAGGTGCCCACTGAACATGTGTCGATTGGAGCTGAAGCTGAGAAAGCTCCCAGTTCCCTGCACTTTTGCCAGAACCCCAGTGAGTGAAGAAGGAGCTGAGAGGGGAAGATGGACCCGACTTGCCCGTCCCCGGGGAAACCCGGACCAGAAATCACAGTCTTGGCCCCAGCCTTGGACTCTTTCATCTGCAGGCTCAAATCAACAAACTGCCACCCACTACATACCAGGCCGGCATGCAGACTAGCTTCCTATTTGGGCTGGGAACAAATGTGTTTGTAACTAATTAAATTTTATAAGATGATAAGCCAGGCTGTCTCTCCCACCACTGCAGCTTGGCAGCCAGAGGCAAATGTCTCCAGTTCTCAAGGCGTCTTGGGAAACCCTGGTCTGGTGCACTGTTTTGTTTTTGTTTTTTTCTGTTTTCTTTCTCTCTCCATGTTTTTCTTGTTCTTGCTGAAATTCTATGCACCCAAATGGCAAGCACTGTCTTTTGTAACAGATCACAGTAAAACCACGACGGTGGAGCTTTCCAGACCTATTGACTATTTAAAGAATACTTTAGGGGGGAAGTGCTACTCAAGGCAACAGTTCTCAAGCTCATGTTCACCTCTGCACCCCCACTGCGCCTGCGTGCATGTCTCTCGTCAGCACCGATCATTTTCCAGCTCAGTCACGTCTACCACTTACTGAGTTCTGACCTTTTTTTCATTCAATTTTCACAGCAGTTTTGCTCAGGAGATACTATAACAGAGTCCATGTTACATCTGCCCCACTGACTCCCCCAGTTGAGCATGTGCACAGCACTGTGGACTTACGCTTCGTATCTCGTCCCAGCTGCAAGTTAACTTTGCGATATTGTCATTAAGCCTATTAAACTATAGACTGTAAGCCCCATGAAGGCAGGGATTATGCTAGTTCTGCTCACCATTGTATCCCTGGTACCTTCTGGCACTTGGTAAGTGGTCTGCCAGCAAGGTAGTCAGGCAGTAGGGCTCTGGATCAAGGTCCCAGCAGGAAACAGGGGGCACATTCTAAGAAGGAATTGGAAGGATTCTAATGCAGGGACTATCTATCAAGGAGTGAAAGGGTAAGGGACTAGCATTGTCTAGCCCTGGTAGGAGGAGGTTACTACTTGTTATAGATTACAATTTGCCCCCCCAAGAAGATATTTTGAAGTCCTAACCTCCAGTTCCCATGAATGTGACTTTTTTTTGAAATAGGGTCTTTGCAGATGAAATCAAGTTGAGCTGAGGCCGTTAGGGTGGGCCCCCGTCTGATATGACTGGTGTCCTTGTAAGAAGAGAAGAGGAGAGACGAGGGAGGGCGCGTAGCTCTTTGGAAGTCACTATGGTGACAGGGCGGTCGGGAAGCATCTTGGTAACTGGTCCCGGCTCTGTGAAAGCAGTCGCCATCGCTTTCCTGGGGTTTAAGGTAAATCTCTTCACCTTTGGACGTGGTGAAGAAAGGGTTTGGAAGTTGTGGCAAGCACTGGGTCCCACGTCTCCTGCCTTGAGGGCGTGTGCGACGTGGAGCATCAGTTATTTTCCGTCTCCCTGTGGGCAGCAGACCTAGCTTTCGGGATGCAACGGAGGGAGCCCTGAATTTGGAGGGAGTCGAGGGACTCTGAGGAGGAGGGAAGACCTAAATCGGTGAATGGTCGAGTAGTCCACATGTGAATAGCGGGAGAATGATTGCGAGTTGTTGGTGTTGGTCGTTAGTGTCATGAGTGAAGGGCGGTGGTGGTGGGCTTTTGAAAGTCCAGGGAAGGAACGATTTGTCGATGTCATCTGGCTGACTTTAAGAGAAAATCGACCAGCAAATATGTCTAAAGTGGCTTTTGAATACAGCACACTGTGCAAGGCATAATCAGAATTATTAAGCAAGTATTCCTGTTCCCAGAGAACTTAGTTATGTTGGTAGTGAATTTTTAACCTGGAGTCTGTGGATCTGGTGATTGGTGGTGATTGGGCTTCAGAAGAGTTCATAGCTGCTCCCCCTTTCCCAAACTGTACAAAATTCTGTGTTTGTGCATTTTTCTGGGGAGTTAATTTTTCCAGAACTTTGATCTGATGCTCAAACGTGGTCTTAATCCCCCAATAAGTATTTATTCAGCAACTTTTATGTCCTTGACTTTGAGAAGTAGGAGCCTCTTGTTTTATTTAAATTTTGCACACTTAGTGCCTGGCATACTAAGCACCGATGAATCTGCTTTCTGAATGAATTTAAAAAAGAAGAAGAAGAAGAAGAGAAGAGGAGACACAGACAGGAAAGAAAGCCATGGGATACTGGAGATGAGATTGGAGAGATGCACCTATAAGCCAAGGACACCAAATTTGTTGGCAACTACCAGAAGCTAGGAGAGGCAAGGAAGGATTCTCCCCCATGTGTTTCAGAGGGAGCATGGTAATGCCAACACCTTCATTTCACTTTCTGGCCTCCAGATCTGTGAGGCAATAGAATTTTGTTCTAAGCTACCTGGATATGTAGCACTTTGTTCCAGCAGCCTGAGAAGACTAATATACCACTCCTGGGCCTGAAGGGACAGGGGGAGGAGTGACCTGTCCGCAGTGGTTTGTAGCAGAGGGGCCACTTGCCAGGAGCTGTGGCCCAGGTGTGATGATGTAACTATGGAACTATGGCAGGAAGCAAACAGGGGAATAAATGCCTTGATCTCTTCCCTCTCCCAGTTTCTAATTTCCATTTCCTGTCTCCCATTAGCCCATATCTTGTGATAGCCACAGGGCAAAGGAGTTTAGTGATAAGGCCTATAGAAGTCAGCCTCTTAAAAAAAAAAAAAAAAGAGAAGGGTGGGGGGAGGGGGAAGAAGTCAGCCTCTTAGGTACAGGGTAGAGTGGCCAAGGGGGAGAGATCTGAAGGGCAAGCAGTCGATCCCACCCGGGAGGTAAGTAAATACTGAATGAATGGATGGATGAATGGGAGCATGACGAGACAGAACTCCCAGTTAATTCTTGTTGCTGGTTTGGAACCAGACAATTTTATGGCACTGCTCTGTTTCCATCCTGAGAAGAGAAGAGAGGAGTCATGGGTTTTTGTTTTTAAATAGGACCTTTGTGTCTAGCTTCAAGTCCTGCCTTCTGGCTCAGCACCCAGGTTCTGAGTCCTGTGACGCCTCCCGCTTTATGTAGCCAGCACCTTAAGGCCGGATTCTATTTTAAGGCTGCAAGTGAGGTAATTGGTCCGACAACAGAAACACAGCTGTAATTATAAAGTGCCAACCTCCAAAGCAGAAAAGCCATCGGCCCCCAAGGGTTGCCAACATAAATGACTCAGTAACTCATGCACACGTGGGCCAGGCCAGGCCAGCACATCCTCCTGTAACGTGGAGGTCCACTGTGCAAGGGGTGGGGTGGGGGGGCTGGTGGGGAGGAACATTCGGATAATTCAGCTCCTGTGGCAACTGATGTGCGGCCTCAACATCGAGCCATTGCCAGCTCTGCTAGCCAGAGCAGTAATTCAGGGGATTCAGGGTTAGGCCCACCAATGGATGGGCCAAGTGAGCAGATTGGACCAGATCACTCCTCTAGTGGAAATACTGTCCGGAGCAGGCTGCACTGGCCAAGTCTGTGAAGCCGGTTTGCATGTCACTGAGACATCTGCAGTGCAATCAGCTCAGCTGCTTGGCTTTGTGGAGGCGAAGTGGCTGCTTCCTCCCATTCCAAAGCAGGGCCCTTGTCTTGGGGAGGCCAGAGAAAAAGAGCCTGCGATTTTGCTTGACTGGTCTGGCCTGAAATTTTTGTATTTCTCAGATTAGAAATAACTGAGCGAGGCTAGGTTTTAAATTTTAATTTATATTTGGTTGCAGCAACAGGACATAGCACATGTCGAGACTTAGATGGAATACATTGTAGTTATGCCCATCTATCCCTCAGACTTTTGAACTTTACTAACGATGCTACTCATTTGTCTCAGAATTACCTCTGCTGTCTTCAGACAACAAACATTCACAGGAGTGTTCCCTGTGCAGGCCACTGTGGCAAAAACGTAAGTGGTGGCGCCTCCCTCTGAGGTGTTACTATTTTTCATTTCTTTAGCAAACGGAACGCCAGTCTGTTTCTCAGAAGCAGAACTAGATGGCCACCTCAGCGCAGATGTGGAGACTCCTTGCTTACTAAGCAGATATAAGGCAGGCGGGAGACCTGGAGAGAAGGTGCAAAATGATTTCTTTGAGAACTTCTTTGGTATGAAAAACTCGAGGGAGGAAATGTCTGATTTGCACAAGGAGTCCCAGGGTGTTCTGGGAGGGAAGGGCTGGGTATTCATTTTATTAGTCAAGATTTGCAAGGTTATGCTGCTTTAACAAAGAACCCCAAAGTTTCTTACAACAACAATAGCAGCAGCAACAACAAAGGTTTGTTTGTCACTGAGGCAGTGTAGCCATCATGGGTCAACCATGGCTTTATTCCCTTCATTCTCGGACCCTGGCTAGTGGAGCAGCTTCTATAGGAGGCCCTGTTTGGTCTTCATAGAAGAGGGAAACAGTCATACAAGTTATACTTTGGTTCCTACAATTTCTGCTCCAAAGTGTATACATCCCACATTTCAATTCCTCCCACACATAAATGGCTAAAACAAGTCCTGGGGCAACCCCTGAAGTTAGCAGGGCAGGGTTGTATAATTCTCCTCTAGGGTGGAAAGATGGAGTTTTTGGTGAACATTCATGCCATCTACACATGTACTTACACCTTCCTCCTGAGGTTCAGAATTGGAGAGCTCTGTTGGGATTGGCAGCAGGCTGGCTCTAACCAGTCGCAGGGGTGGGCAGCTGAACCTCAAAGTGAAGTGACCAGGAAGTTTGAGGTAGGTAGATAGATGAGTTACTGGATGGATCCACCTGACTGATACAGAAGAGAAGAAGGCAATGGTTCTGGTCCATGAGGTGCTTGCTGGAGCCCATCTTGATCCAGTTCTTCTGGGGGTGGCTCACCCTGGGAAGTAGCTGAAGGAATCCTGGGGGGAGAAGCTCAGACCTTGGGTGTAGCTTTCTTGACTGAGCATCACCTTGAGGGATCACAGCTGTGGCTTCCAGGAGACATGTTGCTTATCTTGACTACACAAGATAGGGAAACTTCCCTCCAGCTACCAGCCTGTCACTGCTGCTGGCCCGCCAGAGAGGACTAGATAAGACCTGGGCCCTCCCCAAAACTACAAATTTTCTTTGCATTTCCCCCCTGTTCCCTACCTACACACTAATGCCTACATATCATATATCTCTAGATATATAAAGGCAAAGGAGTTGAGGCCTTGGAAATGGGAAAGAATTTTCAGCTACTATCAATTCCAGGACTCAGTTGGAGTATGCTGTTTGTACCAGGAACTGTCAAGGGGGTCACCTCAGTCACATACAAATGTGTAAGTCACAGTTCCTGAAAGAAGTATGACCTAGAAGGCCAAGACATATAACTTAGAAAAACTCACAATCAAGGCAATATTTAATGAGTGCAATAGGTATTAAATATGAGAGACAAAGAACCCTTCAGTTTGTCAGTCCACTAAATGTTGAGGATGCTTTTTACCACGATGAGGCTGACCCTGGCTGATATACTGTGTGTGTGTGTGTGTGTGTGTGTGTGTGTGTGTGTGTGTGTGGGTGTGTGTTTGATGTGGTGCGGGGAGGTGGGAGTCGGCATCAGGGAGGTGGAGGTGGAGGTGTGATTCCGGAAGGCATTTCTCAGGATGGAAAGTTCTCCGGTGTGGCATCTTCACTGTTCTTTGGCTCGACTCCACAGAAGGAGAAGACATTGCTGAGACTTCATGGGGGAAGTGGTTGGTGTCTCTGCCAGTTAAACCCCATTATCTCCCCTGAACTCTTGCCTGGAAGGGGTTGATGAATAGATGTGAACATTCAGGATGAAGCTGTAACTTACAGTAAGTGGCGAGTCCGCTCTGCTCAGAGCCAGTGGGTGGCTGGGCTGGGAACCCAGGAGCCATAGCCAGGGCGGAGCTGGAGGGCCTGCTCCCAGCAGGCGTCGGGAGCAGAGGCTGGTTATGCAGAGAATTTCCTGCCTCTGCAGTCCCAACGCCAATAACCACAGCTTAGCGAATTCACCTCCTGGCCACTTTTGGTGAATTTTCAAAAAATACCTCAGAAGCTCTTTCAGGCTTGTCCTTAAAATCCAAACCCCGTCCAGGGCTGGTTTCACTTCTGAATCAGATTTTGGTAAATAACTGACAACTAGTTTCTTTTCAACAGCTTTCAAAATGGAAGAACTTTTTCTTTTCCTCCTAATTTAGAAATGCTGGGGGAAAGAATTTGTTCTTGATAGACTGAGAGGTGGGTGGAGAGTTGGGGAGAGGTTAGAAAAATACCTTGGTGTTTGGATGGTGCGGCCGGAGCCAGTGCCGGCCAGGGGCTGGGATGGGGCTGACGGGTGGGATGGGGCCGTCAGGAGCTGATTATACAGGGTGTTGTCATTTATAGAAAAGGGTGAGACCAGCTGAGGGCAAGGAACAAGGAGTCAATTAACAGACAGGCACCAGCCCTGCCTGTTGTGAGGATGAGAGAGGTGACCCCAGAGACTTCTACCGCTAACTAGGGTCCCAGGGAACAGTTTCACTCCCTATGTGTGTGGGAGGTGGGAGGTGGGAGGTGGGAGGTATGTGTCTTGATTTGAAGGAGCTGGAAAAACAGGGGTGCATTAGGCCAGCTGGTGTAAAGTATTCCTGGGGTACACTTGGGGTAATTTGAGGGACAAACAATGCCTAAGGGGGGGTGGTAATATGCATTTGAATGGCTTCAGTAAAGTCTATTTAGTTGCAACATCTACATCTGTTCTTCCTCTTCCCTTTTCTTGTGAACTTATAGTGGTGATCAGTGGAGACAGAACTAATTAGGACAAAGAGGAGGAGAGGAGAGGTGTGGAGGAAAGGAGAGGTCAAGGGCTGACTAGGAGGGATGAAGACTGAGAGGGAAGGGGGTGAAACTTGTGTTGTCTCCCCCCTCCCAGGTATATCCCATATCCCATATCCCCACACCAGGGTCCTGGGTGAGGGTGGAGGACTTCATTGGTTGGTACCCATGCTGCATGTTAGGTAACATAATAGTAATAATTCAGTCCATTAGGGGTTCAAGTCTTTGTGGTTCAATAATTTCTTTATTAAAGAAATGCGAAGGCAAAGGTTTTTTGTGTTTTTTTTTAAATGTGTATCATTTAAATGACTGTCCCCAATGTTTTCTTTGCATGCCCAGGAGGAGCAGGAAAGACCCGTTTGCTGGTTAAATGAATTCCTGACTTTATGATGGAGTTTGTGCATTGCAGCTAGACTCACAAGGCACATGGCTCCATTAGAGCGAGGGTTAGACCAAATAAAAGAATGAGTAAGAATGAGTGGTAGGGGTTCATTTAAGGATTTGTAAACTCCACCTGATGGGAGTGTGTCAGAGACCTGGTTGATAGTCCCACTGTGAGCCTTACTCTTTCCCACGTATTTCAAGGGAGAAACCACTTTTGCTTTCTGTGGAGGACAGAAGAATTGGCTGAAGTAGATACATTTATTGATGTTCTATTCCTGCTGACCTCTTTCAAGTTGCTTCTAGTGTGTAGAACAGAAAAGCATCTCTCCTTCAAGGATAGATGTCATCTGCCCAGCCAGTGTGGCTCCATGATTGAGCATTGACCCATGAACCAGGAGGTTACGGTTTGACTCCAGGTCAGGGCACATGCCTGGGTTGAGGGCTTGATCCCCAATGTGGGGCCTGCAGGAGGCAGCCAATCAATGATTCTCTCTCATTGATATTTCTATCCGTTTCTCCCTCTCCCTTCCTCTCTCTGAAAAATATAAAAACATAAAAGAAAAGAATAGACATCATCTGCTAAAGAGAAATGGGTGGGTTTCTTGTATTTGAGCAAGATCTCTAGTCTTCGTTGGTGAACTCACAGGTGCAGGAGTCGCATCCATTTTTTATAGGACTCTCTGCTCTGCAGTTTAGAGTAAACATTGTCATAACTCCATGTGCAAGTAGGTGCTTGATAGCAGCTCTTCGAGAGAAGAGTTAGAGGATCTTGTGGCTGAAAGGACGTTCGAGATCCTCTGGCACCTCTTCCTCTCTCATCATGCTGTGACCTTCTGAGGGTGATTTTCATTAAGGTTTGTTTGAATGTTAAAGGAAAAAATTCAACTGAGTACATTTGGAGAACTAATTGGCATTTTTAAGTGATTCATGAATTGGACAGCATCCCATCTAGCAATTAGAAGGCCGCTCAGAGGGGTTGTACAAAATGGAAGGTTTTACAGGCAGAGTGGGACTAAGAAGGGAAAAGAGTGGAAGGCACCTTCTCTTAGGGGAAGGCAGGGGTCTGTCAAGCAGATTGCTTCACAAGGGCTGATCAGGAAATTCTGGGCTAGTTGGTTTAAAACTCCATCCCTTGGAGAGGCTAAAACTGCAATTAGGTTAGTTATTAAGTTTGGTTTGTTGAGGTGACTTAGAAAAAGTGACTCTATTTTGGCCTTTTTGTATGTTTGTTTGTTTGTTTATTTATTTATTAACAGAATACAAATTAAAATAGGCACATGAAACTAACAAAAAGGTCAAATAAACAGAATAGCCCCAAACTGAAAACAATGTAAATATCTACCAATAGAAAGAAGGATAAGCAAAAGTGTGCTTTGTTCATACAATGGAATATTATCTATACATGTAAAAGGCTAAGCGACCATCTGACCGGTAGCTATGACGTGTAATGACCACCAGGGGGCAGACACTCCGACCGGTAGCTATGATGTGCACTGACCACCAGGGGGCAGATGCTCAACACAGGAGCTGCTGAGCTTCAGTGACTTGACAGCTACAGTTCTTGGGTAACGCACCTCAGAACCAGAGAGGAGGGAGCCCGATTCCGGGGTGCATCACCTGAGAACCACCCTCTTGCAATCCAAGACCCCTCAAGGGATGTCGGAGAGCTGGTTTTGTCCCTATCGCCACAGGCCAGGCTGGGGGATCCCACCTGCTGGAGGGATCCCACTTATTCCACAGATGCCCTTTGAGACATGGCCCCGCCCCAGGTGCGGCTGGCCTGGAAGGGACCATGGGAGGTTGGCTCCAGGGTGTGTCTAGCCAGTCTCGCCCAGTCCCGCCCCACTGGCCACCTTCTAATTAATTTCCTTTCAATATGCACGAATCTGTGCACCGGGGCACTAGTCCAACAATTAAAAAGAACAATTTACTGGTACAACATGGATGAGCCTAAAGAACATTATATTGAGCAAAATAATATGAAGTTATATAAAGTTGGAGAATAGGCAATACTAGAGTATGGTGGTAGAAGTAAAAAAAGTGGTTAATTCTTTTAAAAAATTTATTTATTGTCTCTTATTCCCCCTCCCTCAATTTACCCCCCTTTACTTGGCTTCCACCCCACCCCAGGCCTTCAAAAAGTGGTTAATTCTTGGGGAGGTGGCTATTAACTGGAACAGAGCATGAGAGAACTTTCTAGAAGGATGGAAATGTTTTATCTTTTGTGGTGCATCTTTTGTGTGTGTGTGTGTGTGTGTGTGTGTGTGTGTGTGTGTGTGCGCGCGCGCTCTTTTGTTACTGAGATGTATACTTAACGTTTGTACATTTTACTGAAAGTAAACCCAAACCAAAACCCAACATCAAGCACTTAGAATGGGAAATATGTGGTTAATGAAGCAAATTTAACAGTGAGCAGCACAAATAGAAGTCCCCTTGTCTAGCAGTTTCAGTAAACGTGGGCAAGTTACTCAGTGTCTCTGAACTTCAGTTTTTCTTCTATTAAAAATAAAGAGAGGGCCCATTTGTCCATCGCACACAGGCTCCGCCACGTCAGATGGCACTGGCCTCACAGTGGAAAGGACACAGAGACTCCAATTACAGACCTTGATGCTATTCTGCCGGCACAGTGAGCCCAGGAACACAGAAATAAATGTAGCTGCCAATGCCAGCCCTGCCCGACTCCTTTCCTTGCCTTTCTGGTTCCAGCCAGCACCAGGGAGCGTTGAAAAGACCTTATGTTCAGGCCCAGACGGCGCTTCCCTCCCTCCTGCAGGGCCTTGCTTCTCCTGCGCTCCAAAGC